TATATATATATATGTATATATATATTTGTTTGCAATCAATTTATGTTTTTCGCTAAAGCATCCGTCTCTGACAAACATCAAACAGACTAAAATAGGTGGGGTTAGGAAAACACCTGGCCTGAACGTCCACATAGCTCAGCAAGTTAGAACATCAGGTTTGTAACAACAGAGTGAAATTAAGCACTGGAGTTGCATAGGATGAGCTAGTTAGGCTTTCTTATCTTGATCCCTTGGACAAACATTTTGGTGGGTTTCTGAACACGAGGTATGGTTGCCTACATCATGCCTTCAGGCCCTCCACAGTATCTGATATTGATATTGATGTTACATCTAGCACTCTAGTTTAACATAACCTACTTAGAATATTGCTGGAGTTGCGTGGAGTTACTTTTGTGTGTGATATAAGACTCTGTTCTTGGGCCCCTAAGGCTAGGTTAACACCTAGGCGACACCTCACCGTGCGGTAATTGTGCAGGATTGCCGCGTGGTCAGGAATCGCCAAGGTGTGAACCGATCGCGCTGTGGGTGCCATTATTTTCTAATGGCACCTCAGTCACGCTGGGCGGATTGCGCGGTTTCTTGCCGCGATTCCACCTGTGCTTCCGAACAGTAAAACAGCCGTGTGTCGTATATCGCAAAAAAAGGTACATGCACCTTTTTTCTGCGATTGCCACGCAGATGCCACCCCATTTAAATCAATGGGGCTGCGCAGCAACCACTGCCTGCATTGTGCAGGACCGTGCTATCCCGGTACGCGTGTCCCGGGTGTCATGCAATGTATTGCAGGTGTGAACCGGGCCTAAAGGGTTGTAGTAATTGGTGATACACAGTAATCTGTGCACCTCATTTCTGCAACACTGTAACTGTTGACATACCTTTTTATTCTGACACAGCTCTATGTGGTTCCATATATGGGACTTTTATGGTAATGTAATGTGTTGATGGACTAATATTGGGTGAATCTTCTGCCTGTATTGTATATAGATTAATAGAATTGTTTTATATTTTTGCAATTGTGTTGTTGATCCAAAATCTAGGGATTGGAGTATAAATGTTTTTTTAAATTAGGTAATTTTTTTTCAAATGTCATCCTTGAAGGGTATCTAAACCCAGTAGCAAAAATGTAATATATTGCCGTTTACCAATCCTTAAATGTGGTGGCTGCATTAGTTTTCTTTTTTTAGGCTTTTCCCTTTATTCTCAGCCTGGTTTTCTGTCCAGTAAGTCTGTTATTTTTTTAGCTTCCTTTAACAGACCAAGCTGTCCAGCAAAAGCGACAGATATAAGTCTACAATGGTCAGATTTTATTCATTTAAATAAAAGTTTTATCCCAAATGGAAAAAAAGTTTTGCTGTAACTGCTTAAAAACTGAATATGGAGTTCATACAAAATGTATTAGTCAAGTCCATCTAAATCTGCTAGTCCTTCTAACACTCCCCTCTCCTCAGGTCACAATTCTGCTGTCTAAGGGTGTCTTTGTTGCTCTTCCATAGAGTGGAGCCACACTATGACAGGATGTGTGTTACTGGCCGGATTACCAGGTGAAAATAAAGGGAAAAAAGCCTTTAAAAAAAAACGAATGCAGATACCAAATCTAAGAATTTGTAAGCTGCAACATATTACATTTTTGTTTTAGGTTTAGATACTCTTTAAAGACCTAGGGTCATCTAAATTCAGAGGTCCCAGTGAGATGTATTGCTATTTAGTCCTTGGCTCTTGACGTTTCTTCTTTGATGGGGTCTACTGCACTATAGCAGGGGTCGGCAACTTCAACACCCCAGCTGTGCTGTAGCTACAATTCCAAATTATGTCTCTGCCACTGGAAGGCATGCCTGTGGCTCTCAGTCTTGCAATGTAGTTCTGCAGCAGCTGGAGTGCCAAGGTTGCCTACCCCTGCACTACAGCTATGACAGACATACACCCTAGGACTTCAGCTGGGTCCTCTTTATGTACAGTATTTCAATGTAGTTAGATGTATTCCTTTAAATCTACACCCCAAAACTCTAATTTGTATACTGCTCCACCATTTTCCCATGGTTTGAAGGTATATCCAGAAATATCCACAACCATAATGATTATGCCGGCACTGATATCCTCATACTGCAGGGACCTTAATCCAACACCTTCACTTGGAGCAGCCCTCTTGACCTCAACCTTGGGGTCTTGAAGCACATGTGAAATATAAAAGACAAAACAGAGTTGCCTTCTCCTTGTTAAGTATCGTTTTAATCATAAACAGAGTCTGGAGTGCTGGATTGATGTTGTATATGCCTATAGCCATGTTACCTTTGTTAGTACTTTTACCTACTTTTATTTATATTATTATAACAATATTTCACAAGGAGGAGGTGCCTCTGTTTTGTCTTTTATATCCAAAAATATACCTGGTATAATTATCACATTTCAAATAGCAGATAGGCAAATGAATATTCAGAAACAGACGTCTAGAGCACTGCAGGAATATGAAGCAAATGTAGGGCATTTGGCAGTCATTTCAATATATACAGTTATGCGGATGCTTTGTATTTCTCTGTGTTTTCAAACTTGATGACTTTCTGTTCTTTGCCTGTCAAAGGGATATGAGCCAAGAGATACAGAAATTGGGAGGAAGTTAATGACCTGGAAAAATATGCAGAGCAACAAAGGATACAGAAGGGCATTGCCTGCCTATCCACACAGTGAGACGAATAGGTATAATGACAGTTTTATTGTTGTATCTCTTTTACGCCATCTGCCTGCTAAACATTTCACACAGCATACGATGGGAGGAAAGCTGTCACAATAGGGACCATTAACATTCAAATATACCATTCACCACGTTTGATCACTCTGATGTTTTAAGGCAAGGTAGTAATTAGTGTGTAACTAATATTTATAGACTATTTTATCGTATTACACTTGGTTTTAGAAAATCTACTGTATTCAAAGTGAAATGGTCAAATTTTTCTTGTGGCTATGCTGTCTACAGTGATCCGTACTCTGCCAGTATTAAAAAAAAAAACAAACACATTAAACAACGTGGACAGAAACACAGACGCAATGCAAATATTTCCCAATGGATAGAAGGGTACTGTTAGATGGGTTATACATGTTATTTACAAATCTTAGCAACTTTCTGTCCTATGTAATAGTATGAACGTGGAATTATACTTTAAGGGCTTGTTCACACAAGCGGACGTGTCCTACCGTGTCCACTAGTGTGTGCTTGGAAAAAAGTGGTTCTGATGCGCCAATTACAATGCATCACACTGTTTGCTTATTCGGTTACAACTTTATTGAGATGTCATTAGTTTTATTCACAGCGGAGCATTGTGATGTTGGTGTAGAGCGTCGCAACACGCTGTGGTGAAAAAAAAATAGTACATGTCCTTTCCTTTTTCAGCACAGTGGTATGAACTGGACACATAGCACACGTGCATATTTGCCTTGACTACACATTTGGATCAGTGGCATCACTAGAGGGGTGCGGGGGGTTCCGCCCGCACCCGGGTGACACCATTGGAGAGGTCGCACCAAAATGACTGACAGCCATTTTGGTGTCACCCCATCTGAAAAGTTGGCAACTTAGTCATGGACCAAGAGCCTCACAGTTGCAGGAGAGAGGAGGGGACCCGGAGGCATACCTTATCTCACCAAGATTGCAGCCGGCAGGTATCACCGAGATGGGCGCACATGCGCAATGACGTCATCGCACACGCGCGTGGTGACGTCATGCATATGAACGATTACATCAGGGCGGGGTGTCCCCTGGTACCCGCTCTGGGTGACACCCAGCCTTGGGACGCCCCTGATTAGGACTACATTGGTCAAGGCTGCCCAGCACAGCCTAAAGTATATGGTATGCATGGGCCCTTAGTCTTGATGTGCCCAGGAAGCACATCACTCTGCTGCTTATTCTTTCTCTGTCCAGTCGCAGGCTGGGGGTGGGACAAGACCTGAAAGTGATTCTTAACTGCAACAGAGAAAGATTAGGTCTCCTGCCCTGCCAGTCATGCCTGTGCTGTGTGGCAGAGCTGTGTATCTCAGAAATTAGTGGACAGAAATACATATGCTTTGGCAGGTAACACAGCTTCTATTAATGTATTTCAACTGTGCGAGGGCTGAACGAGAAAAGACTTTAGATTTTCTTGATTTCAGCTGTTAGCGTAGATGGCAGATCTGCCCCACCGGTCTACTGAATTCTGAAAGCAGCGGGTGTGCTGCTAATTGGCTGCAGTTACTGGGGGGGAGTCCCAACGAGGTCACACACAGCTCACATTTCAGATGGGTCCTACTGACTAGCATATGGTCAGTTTTAGAAAGGTCAGTGGTTGCATTCCTGGGATTGGGACATTTACAGTATATGTATTCAAACATTAAGAAATCCATTAAAATTTATCCATATAATCATCAAGAATTATAGATAAAAATCACATTTCTTTTTGTCAGTTTTAATGACCTGGATTTTAGCAGAAGAAAAGAGAAGCTGTTTCAAATGTCCAGAAAAGAAACACGATATCGCAGGATGGTGGAAGAAAAAGATGGGGTAGATGGCTTTTTCTGTGGACCACCAGGTTAGTAGAATCTGTGTGAACACAAAGGGAAAATGTGTTAGATTTTTGTCAAAAAAAGCATTTTATGTTTTTCTACTTAAAAAAGTGTTAAAATATAAATGTTATAATATTTCCACTAAAAGACTTGTATAGTTCAGTACACTTCAAAGGCTTTAAAATATATTGCTTACAATTTATTTCTGGATTCACATTGTTACCTTATAGTATCAATAGCATTACCACAACGCACTACAACGTACTACACAAGTCACACATGTGACACACATTCATTATGAAAGGTGCCCCCTACGCACCACAATACATGGTAAAGAACCAGCATGTATTGTGGCCCATGCACCTTTTTTGCACATTCTAGTAACTTAGGCAGTCTATTCAGATGATGTGAATGGGCCCTCAGTAACTGAATTTGATTTGGTTGCAGCAAAGCAGTGCTCCGTGTAGCACAAGGAGCCAGTCAGCTCATGTGCTGACAAGGAGCATGCAGATAGGAGAAAAAAGTAGAGTGATAGAGAGATGAGCTCATCAATGTGCTGTTTCTCCTATCACTGTTCAGTGTACTTGTACAAATGCCATCCAATGTCAATGTTGTGATCATCCAATGTCATTGTTGTGATCTGGAGATTAAGCTGGGGAGGCAATATTTTCATTTATTTGATATACACATACAGTATATATCTTTTTTTTTAATTTGCACTTTCTTTTATTTAACTTTTTTCCTTATGAGGGAGTCCGGATCTGGTCAATGGAGACCAAATCCAGACCGCTCAATGCAGCTGTATAGCAGAAGACCACTTTTAATAGTGATTTAAGGCTGCAGGGAGACGCCAGACAGAGATATAACAGCTCTGTGGAGCCAGCTTTAGTAGCATTGGAAGCCCTGGAGCCGGCCGTTTCAGCTCCTAGGCTTAGCGCTGGTGGTTCAGGCCCATACCCCTGCCAAGCGCTGCTGAGGCTCAAGTGGTGAACTTTTAATAGGCTATTATTTTTTTGACTGGCGTCCTGCTTTAAACAATGATAGGATACAAAACATTATAGTTTGTAACCACCTGCAGACCTTGTATGTACAAGGTACACGTAAAGAGACTTCAGCTTAGTACTTTTGTCATTCCTTGTATGCTCAGCGTTCCTCAGAACTGAAAGTGAATCCTGTGTTAATGAAGAGTGTAACAGCCTCTTGTTTTACCCCATACTAACCCTTGGTTAACCTTAAAGGATACCTATTCCTATTCATACGAGTTGTCCTTTAACAAAGGCAGTCCACCCGGTCTGATATTTGTCTTCATCATCAATCTTTACTTCACGGCCCCGCCAGACACTGCACAACCTTGCTTCTGAAAATGCCCTGGTCCCCTTCAGCCTGCACATCTGTGCTGCAGCCCTATTAATTTATATGCTGGGTGTACCCATGGCCACCTCCAGCAGTCCTGCAGAGGTTCTCCCCATAAGAAAAATTGAGTCGGGGTGCAAATGCACAGGTAGATAAGACTTTTTTACAAGTAAGGCTATGCAGTGCCTAGCAGGGTCACACAGTAAAGATCGCTGGCTTGAGGATGAAGTGGCATGTTGGACCAGGTGGGCTGCACTCAGCATGGGGAATCATTAAAGTACAACTTTTACCAAGGATAGAGTTGCCCTTTAAGCACTCCTAATTAAAGAACAACTCTGGGCAAATTAAAAATGAATATTTGCAGTGGGGCTACCCCGCACTGCAAGGGTTAAGTGCTCGTTTTAGTCTAAGGTTTAAAATAAAAAAAGACATACTAACCTGTTCCTCTGACACGCCCAGCTGTTACACTAGTCCCCACAGCCTCTCTGCATCTCCACTACGGCGGTGGAACGTCCCTTGGTTTACATACGTCTAATACATTGTATTAGGCATGATGACTCATGGATCCTTAGACCATCGGAGCAGAGGGGGAGAAGAGACTGTGGGGACCGTTCTAGCAGCCAGATGGGACCAAGGTTTAGGTGAGTATATCTTTTTTATTTTACACTGTAGACCAAAACGAGCATTTAACCATCGCAGTGTGGGGGGAGCCCCACTTCAGTGGCTACATTTTATTCTGCCCGGAGTTCTTCTTCTTCTTAACTCTTTCCCCATTCTTTTATCTTTAACTTGTTTTTTAATTATTTGTGTGTGTACGTGTGTGTATTTATATATAGTCATTGTTGTTATTATTATTTAGAAAAAGAGTCAGATATGCAATAAAAATGGCTGTGGGTGTGCTAACTTTGGGAGGGTTCATGTTAAATCAAGTTTGATATAAAACAAAAATGCAGCACCACCTGGTGAAATTTTTTGGAAAGAATATCAAAGATCTCCTTACAGGACAAAAGCAGTATAAAAATACTGGATTGGAATCACCCAAAATATAATGTTGAGTTATGGAAAATATGGTATACATGCTTCTCTTCACCTATTCGGCAAACAAAATACTGTGAATCTGTTACTCTACTACACCTCTCTTTTCATGATTGATGTGATCCCTACTTCTACGTGCTTTGTTTGTTCAAAACAACAAATTTCAAAGTTGTGTCTGAGTAAAACATTTCACTCAAATGCTTTGATTCTATCTAGTTTCTGTCTAATTTTGAATCTACTTTCAGTCACTCTGTTCTCCCCTAATTAGATTAATCTACAGGGGCATGCACAAGTATAAACCACATGAAAAGGCTTGAAACAATCCAAACTCCAGCCCTACGTGGACCATCGTGAATCCTTGATCTACAATTTTTCAGTGACCCAGTCACTCAGGGAGGCTGCCGTTTTGAGGGCTATTAGGAAACTTCCTCACAGTATATGCAAAGAGAACATTAAGACAGTGTAACAACCAGACCCCACAGGTCTTATTTTAGGTGGAGGATCACAGCTGCAGAAGTATGAGGAGGGGGTGCAATCCTACACCACAGTGAATTTACAGTCTTATGGTATAGAGTTAGGCAACAATTACTTAGCATGAAAAATAGATGAGGTTTTATTGTAGGGAGCAGTCCTTTTAGATTAGTGGGGTGAAGGATGACAACAATCAATGGGAGCAATCAAGTTATCCCTATGCACAGTTCTATCAATATGCAAGCATTTGGAAATCACAGTCTGTGGTATGCTTACTGCTATTTTAGTTGATAGGAATGATAAGGAGAATGTTGGTGCCCTCCGGTGGATCTTTAGAGTAACTGCAGTCCAGATTGTAATAGTCCTTGCTGAAGCTGGGGATGAAGGAGGTAGTGGAGACCGAATTGCAGGGAAGTCAAAGCAGGATGTGCTGGTGGTTTTGGAGGGGCTCTGTCCGGCCCAATAAGAGGAAGAGGTTCGGTGCTGGGATACAGGAACTTGCCTGGCGTCTTCACACTTGCTCGAACGTCAGGCAAGTGTAACATTCAGCCTTAACTAGGGAGTGGGGGAGGAGTCCTGGAACGAGGAACAGGTGAGTGATCGAGTGCACCTGTTACAGACAGCCCCTTCTCCTGGTGTAATAACATTTATTAAGAACAGTATCAAATACAATACATATAACTACTCACATATTTCATGTGGAACGAAATGTGACATGCTCCAATCCTGAAACACTGGGTACCACAGGACTGCCAGTCCAAATGGTATGATGACCACAAAAGGTCAATGCAGAGAGTTTTGTTCCACGTTTCGTTCCACATGGAATATGTGAGTAGTTATATGTATTACATATGAAAAGATGGTGCTGTACCCAAATTACACAGTTGCAGGGGAAATGGACCAGACAAGTAATATAGAGGGTGGCTGAATCACAGGAGTATTACTGAGGGACACTGGACATTTATGGGAAAAACCGTACTGAGGTGCACTGGAGGTGGTTAAGAGAGTCAATACAGAGTAGGGGGGCACTGGTGACTAATGACAGAACCAGTACAGGGGCATTGGGGGCAGGCAAGAGGAGCAGCATAGAGATCTGTAAAAAAGAATTGATCAAGAAAGGCAGTGTAGAGAAGGGTGCACTGGCAGCAGATCTGAGGAGCAATACAGAGGGGTGCTAAAGGCTGATGAAATGAGCAGAACATGCAAGTGTCAAAGTGCATAAGAGAAGCAGTGTATCAAGTGAAGGGGACCTGATGGGGTCAGTTTGGGGGGTTGTGTGGACAGGACCGCAAACCCCCACTAGGCTTTCAGAATGATCCATCGACTTACCACTTCACCCATTCCTTTTATATTGACAGGAGAGTGGTGAAAAGAGAGTGGTGTGTGAGCTGGTGGTCACCAGCTGATCTATGCCAACTTCAACTACATATTAAATAGATATGCTTGTCAGAAAAGATTGGGTAAAAACCGACCAAAACATTTAAAGATTTGAAGCTTAACCTGGTTATTATTGCTGTTTATGTCCTCACGGGGCAGATTTTTCCTCACCAACTGTCCTGTTGACCCCCATTCCCCTCATTTTGCACCCTGCTGCCACTTTTGAAAGCTAGATATAATTTGTACAGCAATGAAAACAGTTTCCTTTAAAGAGATCTAATAAAACACACCTACTCTATTTTACTAGGCAGCTGTATCTTTGATCATAGGGTTTTGAAACTTAAAGCATCCTTACATGCAAGTTAACAAGGTTCACAGAGAATACTACAGCAGCACTAATCAACTGATAAAACATTAGGTGGAACTTGGCTGCCGTCTAGAAAAGAAAAAACCCTTTTAATTAAGCTATTGTCTTACTTTAGTTTAACAGGGTATATCACATCATGTGTATTTCCTTGATACTCCATGTATACTCTACTTACAAATGTATAATCTGCTTTCCAGCAAAGACCTACTCGCAACTTGTATTCATGTCAAAAACAGCAGGAAGCTTGTGGAACCTGCAAGCCATCCAATCTATGTGCCGCATAGAAAAAGAAAAGGTCGGTACAACAAAAGTCTGATATTATAAGCCCAAATTAAGCCAGCTAAATATTTATTAGGTAGACATTGTACTAATAGCCTTAATTTTCATAGTTTTATTCTACTTTCCTGCTATAGAGGTTGTGCAGTGCAAATAAATATGACTGTGCAGCCCGAATGGCACCAGAGTTGGACCACACTGCTCAGTGCACTCCATAGTCGAACAGGCCTAGTCAGATACAGGTCCTTTCCCCTACAAATCTATTTAAGGATGCTTGTAATAAGGGGTGTTGATACTCATCTATGCCAGCACAGACCACTGTAGTGTGAGGGCAGGAAATGCTATTGTACTGGGGGTGAGATCAAGCTGTGTATGGCCAACCTATATGGTGTGTAATTGGTATACAATAGTGAAGTGAAAGAAAATATAACAGAAGCCAGCATAGAGCTGAAGATATTTATACAGAAGTGTTTCTGATATCTTGTTTTCTTTTCTAGATCCGCTCACACCCTAGTTTCTCAGAGCTGTGTGAACGCAATAACAACAAGGAATGTTGTCCCAGTTGGTCTCTTGGGAACTACATATCAGTTCTGTACAATCGGTCTTCTTGCATGGAAATCACACAGAGTGACATCTTCCACACGCTGGCTCTTCTTCGTTCATGTGCCCCAGACTACCACCGAGGTGCTCTCACACCCATGTGCATAGGTTCAAGATCCGAGAGGGAGAAGCATTCCCAATGTGCCAAAGTGCCTGAAAAGTGTACACGATCCAGCGCGGTATATCAACTGCTTCATTTTCTAGTTGATAGAGACTTTCTGAGCCCCCAGACAACAGACTATCAAGTCCCATCTCTGAAGTACAGCTTGCTGTTTTTACCAACAAAGAAAGGGCCAGAAATGATGGATATTTATGTGGACAACTTGGAATCATGGGAGCTTTTTGATAATTACACGGCTATCACTGGAATGGACTTGGGGTTAAAGCAAAAACTTTTTCACCACTATCTTGTTTTGGATACCGTGTATCCAGTCCTAGGGATATTAGCTATTTTTCTAAGTATGTCTTTTTACCTGCGTTCTTTTTTTATCACTTTTATGGTTATGATGTCTGTAATTGGTTCACTGATGATTTCTTTCTTTTTGTACAAGTTGATCTTTAGAATAACTTTCTTTCCTTTTGTAAACTTGATAGCAGTTATCATCCTTAGCAGTATCTGTGCAAACCATACTTTTGTGTTCTTTGACCTATGGAACCTCAGCAAAATACAACACTCTGCAGCTGGCATGCTGCAGTGGGTGAAACAAACTATGCATCATTTTTGTTATCTTATGTTAGTATCTTCTTTGGCTACTGGAGCTGCTTTCTATGGGAGCTACTTGAGCAGCATTACCTCTGTTCGATGCTTTTCTATATACATGGGAACCTCAGTATTAGTCAACATGGCATTTATGATAACCTGGCTGCCAGCTACCATGGTACTTTATGAGAGGTATATCAAGACCAATTGTACCTATAAATCGGAAGATTACTGGAACAGCAATGGCCATAAAAAGTTATTTCTGTCCCTTTACCAAAAGTTAGGAGGTTTACAAAGTACTTTGTCTGAAACATCAAAGCTTTTTTTTGAGAAGCTCCTACCTTGTGGGGTGATAAAGTTCCGTTACATCTGGATCTGTTGGTTTGTCGCTCTTGCAGCAGGTGGTGCTTATATTGCCTGCATTAACCCCAAATTAAGACTGCCATTTTCAGATCTTTCATCAGTTCAGATGTTTCGGTTGAGTCACCCCTTCGAAAGGTATGATGCTGAATACTGCCACCAGTTCATGTTTGAACATCAGGAATATGGAGAAGGGCAACATATGCCAATTAGACTTATATGGGGCATCAGGCCTGTGGACAATGGAGATCACCTCAATCCAAAAGTAAATGGAACACTTGTAACAGATGCTACTTTTACTATCCGCAATGCTGATGACCAGCGATGGCTTCTTGAACTTTGTAACAAAGTGAGAAACCAAAGTTTTTATTATTCTGATCAGGGGAAAAAGCCAAACATTTGCTTCATGGAAGATTTTCACCGCTGGATGGAAAGTCGCCAATGTTCACAGAGCGATCAAAACCATAACCTATGCTGTAATCAGTTTTCATTTCCTTATGCAAGTGATTTGCTTCTCCACTGCATAAAAATGATGGTTAGAGAACAAGGAGGGGATGGACCTGAGTCTTATGACATTGGGCCTAGATTTAATGCTGATGGAAACCTGACTGCCTTGGTTTTGGAATTTCAAACTACATATCACTATAGCTTCAATTACAGCAAGACCAATACTTTTTTTAATACTCTGAACCAATGGCTAACAAATGAAATAAAGAATGCACCAGCAGGTCTTCAGAATGGTTGGTTTACTAGCAAACTTTTTCTTTTTAACCTACAGCATGCACTGAGTACTGAGATCATGATGATAACTGGCTTCTCCGTTGCAATCTCTTTTGTAGTTTTGCTGCTAACCACTTGGAATGTCTTACTCAGCTTATTTTCAGTTGCCTCCATTGGAGGTGCAGTTCTGCTAACAGTGGGTCTCTTAGTTCTTTTAGAATGGCAGTTAAATGTTATGGAATCTCTGTTTGTATCAGCTGCAGTAGGCATCTCTGTTGACTTCACGGTAAATTACTGCATTTCATATCATCTGTGCCCACATTCTGACCGTCTCAGCCGTGTGGCATTCTCCCTTAAACAAATGAGTTGTGCCACTGCAATGGGGGCCTCGGCTATGTTTTCTGCAGGAGTAATAATGTTACCAGCAACTGTGTTGGTCTACAGAAAACTTGGTATATTCATTATGATGATTAAATGTATCAGCTGTGGCTTTGCAAGCTTCTTTTTTCAGTCTATTTGCTGTTTTTTTGGCCCAGAGAAAAACTGTGGACAAATATTATGGCCTTGTGCTAACATAATAAAAGAATATCCAGAAAACCCAAAGCCAAATGGCACATTTACTTGCAGTGGAAATGACAAACAGTGCAGGCTAAGAAAAGTTCCGGAAACTAACACAGAAAATGAACAGTATGAGCTTCAGCCTTTAGCCAGGAACCTTAGTGACAGTTTTGACAACAGCACTACTACTAGTAGGCTTTCCAAACGTCCTTCTATTCTGTCTGAAGACATGCAGTTATCAGACAATAAGTGTTTGAGAACAGGAGCACAGTGCATTCAAGCTGAAGCCCAAGAAATCCATGATAACCCTACCAATCACAAAGCTTTTAGTCATTGCCCTGCTCTGCAGACATCATCTCCCTACAGACAAAGCAGTTTTGGGTCCGAGAAGGAGAACCCAGAAGAATCATGCAGACAATGCATTTGTCCGAGAATGAACAGTAAGACATGGAATGGATCGGTGGTGGACCATGTTCATGTACACAACAGGCAGGATCAATCCAACAGCTTGCAAAGCCCTAAAGATGGCAGTCCTATCCATTATTCCCCAGAAAAAAACATTCGTATGTATGAATATTCTAGGTGCCTCTGTTCTGTAGGTAGCTCATTTGATGCTCTTGACTCAAATGAAACGTGTCTTAGTGATATCGATCAGAACATTAAGTTGGAATCAGCAAGGTGCTCACCAGATTTCCTTGATGTTCCAGATTCCCCATATCACAATGAGAGGGGAAATTTAAATGGGAAAAGAGAAACTCTAAAACTGGCTCTAAGGGAAACAGTTTTTGATCCACCTTCATCTTCTAAGCAAACCAATATGTTATGGAAAATGCAGTCTAACCAAGATGACGATCACCCTGTTGTTCTACCAAACAGCAAACCAGACATGCCTGATATCTGGATAAAGAGGTCGAGTGAACACAGCTCTGGCTATATCAGCTGAAATATCTTTTAATCACAAAAGAACTTTCATGCAACAAAATAACTGCAAAATAGTTTCTTAATTCCCATTGTTTCATTTTGTGATGTATGGTTTGTGTAGAAAACCCATATGATGTCTACAAAAGGACCACTTGATTTTCTGTTTAAACAATGTGCGCTAGCTGAGTTGGAAAGTCTTTAATATTAAAGTTACAAAGTAACTAATTAAAACTGCAAATATCTTATTAATGCACCTACCAATTTCATATCAAGGCTAATGATTGAGATCACTGACTGTAAAGCTCACAGGATTTATCCTTTACAATTGCTATTACACCTCACTCCGATTCTTGTAAATCTTGATGTAATGCATTTTAGTGGCAAAAAGGGGAGGCTGTCGACAGACTTATTTCAGATGATAGAATGTGACCCTAAATCTGCTGAGGCGGGTAACACCACACTATCTTCATAAGCACATGACAGCAATCAACATTTAATTGGAGATAACTTCAATACTTTTTGTTGTGAAAAGGAAACTGCAGTCCCGAGATGAATCACTCACAACACAAACTCTAGAGAATATACAAACTCTATGCAGAGTCCTTGAACCTGGGGCTTTATTAATACAAACTGCAGCATTAACCACTGCCCCATCATACATTGTTTGGCCATCATACTCCATTGTGTAATAATGGAAGAGAAAATAATATCAGCACTGTAACATGTTCCTGCAAATAATTTAAAGGGTCACTGCTACTATTATACTGTTCAGAAACATGCTCACATCTGTACAAATCTTGTTGTTCTATTTTCATTTGTCATCACAACGACCATTGCTCATTCTACTTTGTTATCAGATATTTTACTGTAATTCTGCCATGTGAGATTGCGCATGTGACTTTTGTCACTGATGGCCTTCATCCATAAACGTCAGTTTTTTGTCTTTTTCTAGCTTCAGTACTTCAGAGTCACAGACCCAGAACAAGCATGTAGAAAATAAAAGTTAGATTCCTTTTCTTGATACTTGTTCCAGGTCAGTGAAAGCATCAACATTGCATCCATGGAACTTGCATTTTTTGGAAGCAGAGGTCAACAGTCTACACAATCCTCTCATGACAAGTGTACTTTAAAGACACTCTGTTGCTAAAACTGAGAAACCTAATAACAGCTGTATCTGGTCAGAAGATAGTACATACAGTGGTACCTCGGTTCGAACAATTCCGTTCGCGACCAGGAAGTTCGTCAAAATTTTGCCTCCATTTGCGAATTTTGCCTCGGGTGACCAACACGACCGCGGCCATCATTCCTGCTCTGACACATGGTTGTGGCTTCCTGTACTAGAGATTGCGGTCACAGTCAGGGCTGTGGACACTTACTGTGAAGCTTACTATGTAGCTTTTTGTGTGCTTTGTAGCACAGTACTGCACAGTACTGCACAGTATTACTGTATTCAATCCAGCATTGCTCCCAAGAAAGTGCAGAGCAAGCATGGTGGGAAAAAGAAAGCGACAAGGTGACAAGAAAGCATAGAGCATTAATGAAGGTGACAAGAACGTGCAGAGCATTAATGAAGGTGACAAGAAAGCTCAGAGCGTTATTGAAGGTGACAAGAATGTGCAGAGCGTTATTGAAGGTGACAAGAATGTGCAGAGCGTTATTGAAGTTGACGAGGATGTGCAGAGCAAGAATGGTGGTAAAAAGTGCAGCGCAATAATGAAGGTGACAAGAAGGTGCAGATCGTTATTGAAGGTGACAAGGATGTGCAGAGCAAGAATGGTGGTGAAAAGAAACTTGTGGTTAAATGTATTTTTTATTTTTTTCATATGGTTCAGAACGGATTAATCTGATTTACATTGAACCCTATGGGAAAATGTGATTCGGGTTCACAACCAATGCGGTTCGCGACCAGAATCGTGGAACCAATTAAGTTCGTGAACCGAGGTACCTACCTTTTTCGCACTGTCCGGGCAACTGGACTTGGCTTTGTTGCAGATAAGCTTCCTCTGAAGTCTCATGAGAAACTGACACATCTGGACTTCTCAGGAGACTTCAGAGGGCAGTGGGAGAGGTAAGTATATACTAGCCTTTGTGCCGATACAGATGTTTTTTACTTTGCAGTTCATGCGCACAAACACAAATCATTGTTTTAGGAGACTACGACGGGCCTAAACACAAAAGCTAATAAAGTGACATTCTGTATATTTTAGGTGAGGGAAGTTATTTTGTGCTGTTTTGGGGTGTACTTATATCTTTGTATTCAGACCCATTGTAATCCATTGTATAGATATTGCTGAGGAACTGTGAACCTCGGGCCGAGGGTTTGTTGGTCTAATATAACTTTGGATTAAAAGTTTGCAGTTTAGCAACCAAGTTGCTTTAAGCTAAATGATGCTTTTGGAAAGACTATTCAAAGTAGCTTGCGATACGGTTGATGAGTGGAAGTGGACTACCATCTGAATGTAAAAAAAGCATTGTCCTTGTTGAACATAGGATTTATGTGAGGTAAGAAGCACTAATTACCACCCCCTAGGAAAATCCTACATGATATGATTTTTAATTGGTGGCTGATGACCATTGATGACCATCCTAAGAAAATGTATTTTCCTGATAACCAAAATGTTATGAGCTTTATTTTCCTTCACATACGTTTATTTTACAGATATCTGTAAATGTTACAAATAACTATTCTACACTTAGTAGAACCAAGTGCTGTGCTCAACTGTATACACAGTATTTCTTTTTTTAACTTAAACTTTAACATTTTTATCAAGGTCTGATCTCAGATCATCTTCCAGTTTTTTCCACCAAAACCTTTGGGTGGAAATGAGCAAACTTTAAAACAAACCTATTCTACCCCGGATTTATGAAATAAAGACACTGCTTCTGGACATGTCAGATATTGTTCTGTCGGGACCAGCATCTTTCTCTGTACGTTAACTACCGTGGCTAGAGTTTGCCCCCCAACCCTTGCAAAAAAACAAAATAGAAGGTGACACAAACCTTCATTTTTGCAAGATCATTTGGACTGAAAGCTGGTGGTGGAGGTGGAAGGGCAAGCAACAATTTATGAAGAGGCCACTGGATGCTGAGAGAGGTCATTTTTATGGTTCTGCCTTGGACCTAGACCTTCCCTCAACTTTGGGACTGCTTTGCCAAGCAATGACCATTAGAGGCAAGGTATGTTTTGGATTTTTTAGGTATATGTATTCACATTATTGCAATGTGGCCTAGAAAAAGAAATGAAAGATAACATTTTCATAAATACAGTCTACATTTAAAGTGAACCAACAAAAGTCTACGCACAGCTTTATATCATAATTACCTAGATATGCAATCTTCTTAAAAATAACTGGTGAATATTTCCATACAGACTGTATTAACAGTGTATTCTGTAAATATGACTTTATTTAAACTGAACAATTATTTTATGTACTTGTGTAATACCAATCACCTGACACAGGACAAATATGACTTTATAACATAGAGTTCTATAAACTTGTTTTGTTTTTTTTCGTGCATTGCAATGTAGAAATAAATGATATTTCAGTATGCAGTGTAGGAAACGTTTGTATTTTTTGGCTTAAATGCGTTATCTGGAAGTGCTATATATATGGATAAACTTAACAGCAATTCTGATGTCACAAATCTGTTGGCAAATGATGATCTGCCAGTGAGTGTAACATGTGTGCTTGGTTTGTCTGCTTTTAATATACCTTTGTGAGTCTCGTGAAACACTCTCCCATGTATCATTCACCCCCAGATAAAAGTTCAGTCACTATACCAAAAGCAGATTGCCATTGCTATGGTCTTCTTCTGAGAATGCTAGTTGCCTGACAATAACGTTGGACCTCTTACCTTAATACTTTTCATCACTGACCTAGAACAGATATCCAGATATAAATTTCTGATTTTTCTCCAGACTACCCTGATCTCCATAATTGGGGTTGATTTACTAAAGTAGTAGAGTATGTTCACGTTGCAAAGCGAAGTTTCATTTAGCTTGTTGAATGAGGTGAAGCTGTGTAAGTAAAATTCCTGTTTTGTTTCATTTTCCTAGGACATAATTGGCTATTCTTTGCAAAGTGAACATGCTCTACTACTTTAGAATAACATCCCTATAGACTTAAAGTACAGTATAGGTAGGGATGCACCGATATATTTGCCGCCGAAACATATCGGCCGAAAATGGCACTTTTGGCTAAATGCCGAAAGTGCAATTTTCCTGCCGATCCATCGGCGCATCCCAGGCTTCTTTCCTCCCCGCTGGGCGCTGCTCTGTGTCCCAGCAGGGAGGAGAGCGCTGTGATTAGCCAGTGTCTCTCCTCCCACACCGCTCAGCCGCCTATCACAGTCTGGCAGAGCGGTGTGGGGGCGGAGACAGCCCGTGCTGTCACAGGAGGCTGAGCTCTCCTCCCTGCTCTGCTCGCTCAGCCTCCTGTGACAGTGTGTGACAGAGGAGAGCAAGTTACAAACACTCAGCGATCAGTGATCGCTGAGTGTTTGTAGATAATTGAGGATATGGTATGTGTACTATATCCTCAATTATGAATGAATGGGAAGTGATCCTTATCACCTCCTGTTCATTCATAGTTGTAGTTATAGTAAACATACTATGTTCTCAAGTTATCAATGAACAGGAACACTACATTTTTCGAAGCACGTTGGAACTCGGGAATGGCAGCCCATCTATTTTGCTCATGATAGGTTTACTTATGTATAACATCAAGATGAGATGAACTTTGCTCGGTCAGCTAGGTTGAATTTTGGCTCCCTAAAAATGATAGCTTCCCTTGATTATGACATCATTATCCCCCGCCAAAATTAAGGTTCTCATTTGTGTGATCTGAGCATGCATATTGAAAAAACATTCATTTATAAGAAGAAAAAAAAAATCAGATTGCGAACATCCAATGCCATCTTATATTTATGGCCATCTTTGGTCCCCCTGCAGCTTTCTTAGAAACAAAAAACAAAAAGGGCGCAACGCTAGGTGGGCTAACTGACCGGGTCGGAAGACCCAGGGAAAGTGACAGGGAGAATTATGTGACAATGGGTGCAAAAGGCAAAAGCAAGAGCACTTACATTTTAATTCATGGGACCAGAGGCTGGACGGCCGGTACTGCAGCTTTCTTAGCCTGTGATAACTGTAATGGCCACAAGTGTGCACCGAATCTCTACCACCATTCCAGAGTGCCTGGAAAAAGGACTCTATACACAATGCAG